CAATGATCTTGTAAAAGCATTAGGCTTACCTATTAAAAAGTTAAATATTTGAACCCGATGAATCCCAACAGTCGCTAAGCATGATCTCCTACAACCACACAAGGGAGGGTCTAGTTTTCTCTGCATGTAGACAAATGCTGCAGTATGCTGTCCTGTGATGTAAAGAGTGAATGAAATAATTCTTTCATAAAACTATACCTAATAGCCTAACAATTAGTCTATTACCTAAAACCTCCACAGTATTTGTAATCCTTGAGTTTGTGCAAAAACGGTTTGTTGATTTGAATTTTAATAAACTATTAACATATATGTTATTAGTTTATTAAATTTCAAATTTTGTTTTAAAGCCTAACCTAATGGTGTTTTTGTCGCATTTCCAATCTATGAGTAGATTTTTTGTTACAACAGAGACAACGTTATTATGTTTCAGATCAGCTTTTGTAGTTGAACTTGGAAGGGGTGGTACACCAAGAAGTTTAGTTTCATTTACTTCGGATGCTAAAACAGGTAGATGATCATCAGTGTCTTAATGGTCTAGGGTAGTCATCAGTTTTACATCCTAATGTACCACCATTTTTGGAGACAGATTCCATTTGTTTTTTATTTGTTTGCTGATATGGGGCAGTACTGATGCTCGATATCAATGGGCTGAGCTAAAACTTAGATTTATCTTTCAAACATCTCCTATGTAGACAGATATTATCAAATGTACAAATAATTTTTTCATAGCATTACTAATGTTATTCCTCACACTACTCACAATAACATTTGGATTCATGAGAATATTATGTGGAACAAATATGTGTTCACCAGATTTAATTTATCTTTTGTGTCACCCTTCAATTTCAGAGCATGCTGAGCAAGTCCAGCAGTGCCCCCAACCAATTCATCACAAGAACTGCTAGTTAACTCAAACTCAACAGCTTCTTTGAATATTACCCAATGGTCTCTCTAGCTTCATCATAGGTTCTTTTTTTGTTTTTCTCAACAACTTTTTTTTGGACTTAGTCAATTCCTGAATAAGATGTTTTACTGTTAGTTATTATTTTTTGCATGAAAGCTATGTCTACATTAATGGATTTTTTTTGTTTGATATTTTATGTTGTTTTTGAACTTTCATATTTTGAAGAACAGATTTCTTAAAAATTTCATGGTAGCATCTAATGTTGATATAAATTTTTTAGTTCCTGGTTATCCAAATCCCTTCGATTTTTATTGTATTTCATTAACTTCATTAATTCATCTTGTGCTTTCTTGATTATTTTGCTAATGTTGTTTCTTCCATTTATTCAAGGGGTATTTGCTTTCATATAATGTTTCAGGACATTATCAATTGTAAGAGATAATGCATTAGGGTAAATCTTTAAGGTTTGCAAGCAGACAAAGAATTACTTGGTTCTTTGTTGGTAGTTTGTGTCCCTTAATTTCCTTGTCATTGTTACTAGAAGTGGTCCCTAATATCATTCGTGCATATTAATCATTATCACTTGATTATGCTATTTTACCTTATTTGATATAAAAACAGCCAAACTTTTTTTCAGTTCTAGTTTGATGTGTTTATTATTGTTAGTTACATTTATCATTAAATTTTTTTAAGAAATTAAAAAAAAAAAATTTTTCAAGTTTCATAATTTTGCATACACCATGCATCTCAATTTTGCATAGATATCATCTTAAAACTTCTTTCTGTATCATTGTTAACTTAAGCAATTCAATAACTTTCATCAGAATAAAGTTTTAATGGAGTTTTCACCATCTTGTGATGAAAATTTTACTATCGTTCAGGTCATTAATATATATCACAAATAAAATTGACTCAAAAGCTGAACTATGATGAACTGTGATTAAAACTTCTAAGTGATCTATGGCGACTTAAAGTCTTAATTTAAGCAGTAAAACTTTATAGTGATTTAATTTACTGTAAACTTTTTTATTTATTTTACTTTGAAAGATCATATCCAACATTCTTTCTATGGTCAAGTGCTTGTTCAAAATCAAAAACCCATTGCATTTTACCAGGTTTGTATGCAATGGCAGGTGCTGCTGCAGCTCTTGGTGGTGTGACAAGAATGACAGGTTTTTATTTATTGTTCATTTTTAGTTCATTTAATGATTCTATTATTTTAGTTGTTATTATTATTTTTATTGGATAAGTTTTTTTTTTTTTGTATAATTTTGTTTTTGATTTACTATTGGTATATTTGTATCGACTATTATAATGAATAATTATACAAATATCAATGAATGAATTAACACTTATTTTGTACGCTTATTTCAGAATTTTATGTTTATAATTTTTTTGTGAAATAAACATAAGTTGTTTCTTTTATTGTAAAATATTTTTAGTGATATTGGTTGTAATAATGTTCGAAGTTATGGGAGGTTTAACATATGTTGTTCCTAATATTTTTAGTGACATTGGTTGTAATAATGTTCGAAGTTACGGGAGGTTTAACATATGTTGCTCCTATTATGATTGTTGTAATAACATGTAAATGGGTTGGAGAGGCTCTTGCTGCTGACTCTGTGTATCTTTTCATTAATTTATAATTTTGTGTTTTTTTTTTTGTTTTTGTTATTTTTTTGCTTGTTTTACTGTTTATATTTTTGCTTTGCTATGTTTTACTTTTTATAAATTGTAACTCTTTCTTTAACTTTTTAAAGTTATATTGAACACATTCGCTTAAAAGGTTTTCCATACTTAAATACAAAAGAAGAGTATGATGAAGCTTTTCTGGCATCTGATATCATGCAACCAAGGTTTATTTCAAAAGATAATTATTATTTGTTTAGTTATTAGTTATTATTTATATAATAACATTAATAAATGTTTATATAAATATCAATGAATGAGTGCAATGAAATAAGTATTATTTAATACAAACAATATCATTGATGCATTAACAATACTAATAATAAAATGTAAAAATAAATAATTATACATTATTTATGAGAAATTTTATTTATTTGTTTAAATATGAATGTAAAAAAAATACAAAATATGTTTTTCATTAGTGCTCTGATTAAAATTAACAGTTAAAAGTAAAATTAACAGTTAAAAGTAAAATTAACAGTTAAAAGTAAAATTAACAGTTAAAAGTAAAATTAACAGTTAAAAGTAAAATTAACAGTTAAAAGTAAAATTAACAGTTAAAAGTAAAATTAACAGTTAAAAGTAAAATTAACAGTTAAAAGTAAAATTAACAGTTAAAAGTAAAATTAACAGTTAAAAGTAAAATTAACAGTTAAAAGTAAAATTAACAGTTAAAAGTAAAATTAACAGTTAAAAGTAAAATTAACAGTTAAAAGTAAAATTAACAGTTAAAAGTAAAATTAACAGTTAAAAGTAAAATTAACAGTTAAAAGTAAAATTAACAGTTAAAAGTAAAATTAACAGTTAAAAGTAAAATTAACAGTTAAAAGTAAAATTAACAGTTAAAAGTAAAATTAACAGTTAAAAGTAAAATTAACAGTTTATTAAAAGTAACAGTCAAGTTAAAAAAAAAATTAAAAGATATAAAGCAATTGAAAAATACAAAAAATGCCAATTTAAAATAACAGTAATGTTATAAACTTAAAGATTTTGCATAAATTAAAACCTAATATAAGTATATAATTTATGGACATAAATATAAGTTGATTGATTAAATATTAATATTAGAGAAATATGTAAATATTTTGTTAGCTATAAATAGAGTATATTAGCTTTTTTGAAATCTTTTAAACAATCAATTGTTTTCAAATTGTTTAGTAACTTTTAAAAGGCTCCTGTGCAGAAGAATTTATTTTGAGCATATTTTAGTCTCACTTTAAGCAGAATTATTTCGTTGTTTGATTGGTAAAAGCAAAATAATAAATTTAGTGCAAGCATCTTTTTCCAAGCAAATTTTTAGACAAGAACTTATACTCATTTTTTAAGTTTTTTTGTAGTTTTAGTACTGCATTGATTTTTGATGGTAGATACTTCATGCTCAATTGATTGGTTTTGAATTACCAGGTGCATCAATCAAAATCTTGAAGTAAAAATCTAAAGTAAAATTATTGATCTTAAGTAATCCTTAGATATTTATATACCATAGTAGTAACTGTTGTGCTTTGTAAAACAGGTCGATAAGTATTTTATTTTTTTGTGCGTTTCCTAAGATTAAGTTTTTATGAGAGTTCACTAACATTTAAATCATAGTAATCTATCAATGTTGTATCTTTGTTTAAATTCTTTTTAATCACATCAATATTTGTTTCCATGACAACATTTAGGATATTGTCAACATACTTGTTGTCAATAAAAGTCTTTGGAGTATCAAAGACTTATATAGAGGTCATTAAAGAAAATGAGAAAATAACAGGTGAAGTAAAACAGATCCTTGTGATACCCCACTTAAAAGGGCTGTTCCTTGGATATAGTTTCATCAAATTGTTTATGAAATATAGTGTCACAAAATTTGTGAAATTTTGTTGTTAAATATTTGTAATTTTCAACAGGGGCGTGGTGGCGGGGTTTTATTAAAAAAGCCTTTATGTGTAGGAGTTTACCATATATGATGAATGTAAACTTGTCTGGTAAAAAACAACATCTATCTGCCATTTTATCCGACCCATATTTTAGTTGTTTCAAAATAATTAATATATTTCAGTAGTGTATATAAACTTCATTTTTTGAACTTTTTATTTTTTATACAAAAAAGAAAATAAAGCTACGTTAATGATATACGTCATTTTTGAAGCTAATTCATTTTTTAAGACGCCTAAGCATTAAATTTTTTTTTAGTTAAGCAGCCCAGTTTTTATCATTTGTATTAAAACGTTGCAAATTATTATTATCTCAAATTTATATTTCAGTATTTGTTTTATTTTTTGTATGAACTATGTAACATAACGTTTTCTTTCGCACTAAAGTTTTTCGCTATTAAAAGTGTTAATAAAAGTAATCATAGATTAAGTTTGAAAAGATTTATCAAAAAATACATTATATATTTTTTAGAATATTATATGTAATTACTTTTTTATAAATATGTTATATTTATATAAAAGTAATTAAGTATAATATTTTTTGATAATTTAAATAAAATGGGTTAATTGTCAACAATCATTAAATTAATTTGTTACTTTCAAGGGCGTAGAAAACTTTTTTTGATGTTTGAGCTAAGCAACTTTGAAACATGAAATTAAAAAGTTTACACCCCCTCAAATTGAGGGGGGTGTAAACTTTATAAGGTCATAAAAGCCGAACAACAAGAGATTATTGAATCAAATTTGAAATTCGTCGATGAATATGAATTAAGTTTAAGATTAAAAAAAATTAACAAATTTGACTCATTGCTCTTCAATTTGGGGCTGAGAGGGCTAACGTTTTGGGGTTTTTGTTGTTCCCAGTCTCAAATTGCCGCAATTTTTTGCATAGCATCCTCATTCCTCATATATATGAACATACTTAAATATGGAATTATCTTCATGTTTTAAAGTCGCTTAGCTCAAACATCAAAAAAAGTTGTACAGCCTTGACTTTATTTAATATATTTTTCTTTTCCAATTTTAGTTTTTTGAACTTAGATTTTTTCTTTTTCTCTAAGATTTTCTTTTTTTATATAAATTATCTTTTAAATTTTCTTTTTATTTTCAGCGTATTTTTGAAAACATGAAATTGTTTTTATAGATAGGTTACGCTTTTGTTTAATTCTGCATTTTAACTAGCATTTTTGCAAAGCATAAACACACTACAGCGCTCATACTTTCAATATAAAAAGTGTTCATATTGTAGTTTTACTTATTAGTTACTTAATTGAAAAGTATTTCATATTTTTCTAAAAATGATATTCAGTTGTTTTTTATTTTAAAAATGAATATTTTTTAAATAAATTGATTTTTTTCAGAATGTCAAAAAAAGTAAAAATTGCTTAAAGACCCATACTTGGATTAAAAAGTGCTAAAAGGCCTATATCTAAATAAAAAAGTGAAAAGCACATGCAGGAATCCTGCATGGCCTCTAGGGCCACCATGCCTCTGATTTTCAATGTATCAAGGTTTAAAGGTTTTCAAAAATTTGAGTAAAGATCTTTTTAACTAATTTATTAATTTTGGTGAAGTTTGAAAGAAGCAATTTGATAAAAACACAATAAAAATATTTAATATCTAAAAAAAAATAAGTTCTCTATAGAAAATTTGAACTCATAACCTTGCCAGCCGTGCCTCATGACTTTATCATGGTAATATCCACAGCACTACACCGCTATTTTAATAATTTGAAACAAAATTGAAATACTTAAACATTTTTTGTGTGCAAATAATATTAAGGTTATGTAAATATTCTTATTTACGCAAAATGCATTTTTATTTTCCGATTTCTCCTAACATTTCATGAAAATACTTTTGAACGAATTTTTTTAAGAAGAAATTTTCCAGATTTTTAAATATGACCAAGATAATCCCTGTTATGTGAGTATGAAAATATTAATTATAATCTATAACCAACTACTTTATCTTTAAAGATCTTATGACTGATTTACTTGGTAATTCTGACCAATCAATTTCTGTCAATTTTCCGTTCAATCAGTTTATCTGTCAAAATTTGTAAACAATCAATTTATTTGATAATCTTCAGATCTATCAAATTATTTGTCAATTTTAAATTATGTTATAATAATATTAATTTAAGATTAAATTTTTTACATCCAAGGAAAAATCTTGACATGATTAACTTTTTTTAATTATTATCAAGCTGTACCAAAACATATTATTAACGAAATAAAAAAGCTTAGCCATTACTCTGAACTTCTTTTTTCCTAGACCATCCAAGAATACTTTAAAAATAGTATTACTTGGTTTCAAAATATCAGTATCATTTTTAAATAATAGTATCCAATCTCCTTGAAACTGATTTATTTAATACATCATTTTTATTACCTTGAAAAAGCCTATTTTTTATTGTGAAAGACTCTTTACACACATTTACAGTCCTTGGAATTAGGGTCAGCATTCGACAATGATGACCTAATTGCCAACCTAAAAGTGTTTAGGGTAGGCAAAAAATTGCCGACCTCGTTTCTGTTTTAGAGTAAAACCTTTGTGTTAAATTTTTTTTCTAATTCTAGCGGCTGCATTTAAGAAATCAAAAAACATAAAATAATTTAAAATAAAAATCATAGTCTTACTGCCTCAAATTTAACATTAAAATTTAAGTTTTTATAAAAGAGCCATGGAATATACAATTAAGAAATCTAAAAAAATTAATGATACATACAGATTAATCTATACTAGTACAATCTTAAGTTAAAAACAAAAATTGATTTTGAACAGAGTGAAACTAAAAGTAAAAACTAAACTCAGTCTGTCAGGTGGTCTAGCGGGTTTTGAGTCTATAATAAATTGTCGCTTTCTGATAAACCTGCTAAAGGGGAAACAGCCTGTAGAAATTATTTAGATAAGTGTTTTACTAATTTATATATACGTACATTAGCATGCTTAAAAGACAGCTATTAGGTTAAATATCTCATGCTTTCAAATTTTAAGGAACACCATTTAAAAAGTTAATAAAATTTGAGTAATGTTCTTAGAAGTTTATATATAGGCTACTTTGAATCCATTTCAAATGTAAACACAAACATCAAAATGCTTTGCACCATCAACACTGCAACCATAATGTATATTAAATAAATTAATCTTTTCTGATAATTTTGTATGTATTTTTATGTTTTTATTTTTGTTTATTTGATAAGAAATTAGTTTAACTATTTTGTTTCAAAAGATTCTTAAACAATAATAATTAAACTTAATTTTAAGTTTTTATGATTTATTGATTATTTTTATTTATTAATTTTTTATTTATTTTTAAAGCCGGTATGGTGAACCAATGAAATGCATTTTAAAAAATGGATCTACTGTCAAAGATATAGGTAGCTTTTAAATACTTCATTAAACTATTCCCCACTCCATTGTCATTCTCTGAAGATAACTCTAAACTTGACTAATACACTTTATACATCATGGTAATTGGCAAACATTAGATGTCTTTAGAAATAATGTAATAAGAGAATATAACTTTCATAAGTTTGTCGATTATCAAAAGTTCAAATTAACAAATATAAAAATATTTTATCGGATTTTATTTAAGAAACGTTGCTGGTTGAAACAAAGTTTAACGGTTTTCCTGTTATTGTTGACAATGAATCCTATAGACTGTCAGGTTTTGTCACAAGAAGAGATTTGAAAGTTGCACTTCGTAAGTTTTTAAAATTTAATTATTATTACTTCTTATTTGTTTATTCATAATCAATTTAAAATATTTAAAGCTGGAATCTTTTTTTAGGCTTTAATTTCTGCGTTGTAAATTTGAAAATAAAAAATAACTTCAAATAAAACCATTTTTTGACTAGAATGATTTAAAATGAAATGAATACAATGCTATAACATTGTTATTGTTGCCTGCTGAAAATTATTTAAAAACTCGAGCTCACTTCGCCTGTTAAAAAATGTAAAAACAGTAGTTCAAGACAGTAGACAATCAAACGACGTTTTTATTTATTTTGTCATTACCTTGTCTTTGTTTTTAAAAAATAAATAAGTTATGAAAAAAAAATTTTTTAATGCCTAACATTTCATTTCACAGCTATGGGATCTTCCATAAATTACGTAACGCGATATTTAACTAATAGACAAAAGAAAAAGTGTTAAAAGTTTTCCCTCGCAGAGTCTTTAAATAAACCATGTATAAATAACCCTCAAGTCCAGCCAAAGCCACCGCTCAAAAGAGCAAAATGTTCTCCTACTTATATTTTTAATATAAGCTTTGCGTTGCGTAATTTATGGACGATCCCTATGCTACGAAATTTTTTGTCTGTTTAGACTATGGCAAGTTGCGCAATAAAAACTGTGATTCTTCTTCAGTGATTTATTTTTCGAAACGTTTTCCGTCAAATGAAATTTCACAAGATGTTTCGACTCTAAGTTTCCGACATATCCTAGATTTAGTAAGAAATTCTCTATCCTTTTTAATGTAGTTGGAAAAAGTATTTTATCTAGATTTTAGTTTTCTTTTATTTTAGAGTCCATTTACTGTAACAGACTCGACGCCCGTCGTAATAGTTATAGATATGTTTCAAAAACTTGGTCTGCGTCAAGTGCTAGTCACTCACGGAGGGTATTATAAGTTTTTATTATTTTAGTTTTATTTTCATTCGTATCTTATTAGTTACACACTTGATATGTTTTCAGGAAACTACTTGGTATAATTACGAAGAAAGATGTGTTAAGACATATCGCTCAAGTGAAACATTTTGATCCCGGACACATTCTTTACGATTAAAATTATTCTTAGCTCAAATTTGAAACATTTGAAAAAAACTTTTAAATTAACAGTAATAACTTTTTTAAACAAAGTCAATAAAAATCAAAGATATATTTTAATTTATAACTTTCACTCAAAATTAATTTAATTTTAGCTTCAATTGTATTTAAAAAAGCATAAAAACAGTTTATTACTAAATTGATATAATATAAATCACAAGTTGCAATACAGATATATTAGTTGTGCAAGTTTTTTCACAATTGTAGATATTAGTACATAGATAATATGTTTGTATTTGGTATTTTAAAGATTTGTTGTATACTTAATGATGAGGACTCTTTTAGGTTCGAAGAAATTCTTGAAATTTAATTAATTATTGACATTAATCGTCGTATAACAAGAGAAGTTGCTTTTTTTACTTTTTTTATTAACATTTTTATATGTTCGTACTTAAAATTTTGTATGTTAGTATTTGCAATTTTTTTGAAATAATTAGTTATGTATGTTCTTAACAGATTTTATTAAACAAATCTCTTAAATATTACTTAATTACTGTGCTTTTTTGTTTCGTCTCTAGAAAAAAAGTTTTTTTTAGGTTTTTAATAGAATTTCAAGCTTACAGCTTTTTTAAATTTAACTTTGAATTTAATGGGAATATGACTTTTTGTATAAAAACCCTATAGAACTTTTTGACTTATAGTAGCTGATGTTTTTTTTTATTAAAAAAAAGGGGTCTATACAACAATCACACGGATTTGGTTTTCAAGACGAATCTAAACTAGATATTAATGAGTTGCGATCTGCTCTAGATAATTTTAAAAACATCGCATTGGTTTTAATAATATTAGCACAAATGAAAAACTATAAAAAGAAACTATAAAAAAAAATTAAAAATAATAAAAAAAATTAATATGACATTAATAATTGGGCTAAAAAGGCAAAAAAGGACCCTACAATGGTACAAAGATAACTCTTTATTGCATAGTCCGATTGGTATCAAATTTTGCAGGTAGCATTTGTACACGGGTGTTAACAAAATGTACCAAAATGGTGAAAAGAAAAAGTCTATTAAAAATTTTATGGTATTTTAATTAAAATGTATCAATTTTATGATAAAAAAAATAGACTTAACTATCAATAACTGTCTTTTACTTTGCAGATTAATGCTGATTTTGGTACACTTTGTTGACACTAGTGTATTAAACATATTGTAAAAAATTCAAGTCAATTGGACTAGTAAAACTTGAGATACCATTGCACCAAGCATGAAAATGTAGATTCAGAGAAAACGATCGTTTAAAATCTTGTATAAAAATAAAAGTAAGTTTGCGTAAAACAAAAATAATAAGCTCCAGGTGCGTTACGTAATGTAAACAAGAAGTATTTAAGCAGTTAGAAGGATAAGAAGACACAATAAGGAAAAGAAAAGAAGCTTGAATAGCAGAAAACTTTTTTTTTGTAGAAATTTTTTTTACGAAAAGATTTGATTTTTTTTTTTATATTAACACGAAAATGGCTAAATTGAGTGTTTTGCAATAAAAAATAATTGTTTTAGAAGTAAAATTCAAGTTCCTTGATAAATTTTTCAAAAAAACCAATAAAAAAATATTTTTTGAGAAAATGTCAAAAAAAAAGGGGATCTACCACCTTAACTCATCACGCTTGGATCGAGTTAGTAACTCATGTAACCAATGTCTTTAATGATGACTGTTTTACATTAGGTATCTTTATTGATCTGTTAAAAGTCTTTAACACAATCAATCAAGTCATTCTTTTAAAAAAAAACTTGAACATTATGGAATAAAAAGCAATAATTTACTATGGTAAAAGAATACTTATCAAACAGACAGCAATACATTTAATATGAGGCACAATCTTATCACCGTTACTGTTTTCTCTTAAATGATCTCTTACCTCAAAATTAATCAATTTTTTTTATTTGGAGATGATTCCAACCTGTTTTATTCTCATTGGGATATTAAAACCCGTTTTAATGTAATCAATGAAGAAGTAAACACAGTAAACGAATGGTTTATTTGCAATAAACTTTCAATTAACGTTAACAAAACTAAGTTTATTCTATTTCACAAACCTTAAATTTAGTAACATAAGTATTACTAGACAAACATCTGAAAGTATTTTAGGCGGAACCATATAAACACTCTTGGAAAACCATCATGGGGGAACCATATAAACACTCTTGAATCAAAACTTTCAGAAAGCATTGCAATGGTGTAAAAACCGAAACTATTTTTAAATAATAAGTCTTTAAAAAGTTTCCTTCATAGATAGCTATTTAACTTACAGCAATATTGTATTGGTTATGGGCAAGCACCAGCTACGTTAAATTATAAAAAAATTAAATAGAAATGTAGAATCGTATTTGGAGCAACAAAAGTTGTGCCTTGTGAGCTTCTATGTTACTCAATACATTAAATGTATTCAAAATCAACATATTTCTAGTCATAGAGTTCATCTATAAAATAAATCATGGACTGTCTCCAACAATATTTTATCCTTATTTTAGAAAAGTTAGCCATAAATACGTTTCAAGGTTTCAGAAAATAATTTTGTTACTTAAAGTTATAATCTTAAGTTATATTCTTACTCTATACAGTACCAGGGGCCTATTTTGTGGAATAATATTCAGCATATTGTTATTATTAAAGAAAAAATATTTCCGCAATTCAAATTTAAATTAAAATGTTATTTAGTATTTACGGATTTTAACATAGTAGGTTTTTGTCTGTCACTTTTGGATGCTATTAAACTAAATTATCGCCATAAATTTAAAAATCTAGATTATATAACATAAAGAAGAAAATCAATATTAAGAATTTTAATATCTTTATCAGACTTTCATTGAAAATATTTATTTTTAAAGTTTTCTGCAATTTACTTTAATATATTTCATAAGGTTGCAACAGAAACTCTATTATATTAATTTCGAAATACGTTCAGTTATAACCCGATACGAAAAATATTGTCATTTTTATTATTATACTTTAATCATTTCTTGTAATTTTTATTTTATTGTTTTATTACTTTTTTTAATTCTTAACATCCTAAAATTGTCGTTCTTTTAAATGCTTAAATTGCTTATTGGATACGGATATTTAGAAGCGTCACTATTGGGGCTCAGAGATGAGTCTAAATAGCCTTTTTCCTAAATTAGCCTTTTTTTTGCTCCAGCGGATTGTATACTTTTTTATATTGTTGTACATTGTAAACATTTTTAAACGGCAAAATAAATAAAATTTAAAAAAATCTAACTCATGGATGAGCAACTGGAAGAGGAAAAAAAGTTCACATTTAAATAACTGATCTTTTGATTAAATTATCGTATCACGTGAAAGGTGTAGAATGTTGTGTGGAGAGAAGAAAAGAGATGGCATGATGCAAATTCGTCTGCAACCTAAGAAGAATATGTCAGTATTTAACAAAAAGGCACATTATAATACAAAAAAGTGCAACTATTTTATTCCAAAGATGGGGTGCACGATATGCTATACAAAATTGATTGAACTTAGTTCTACAAAAAGGTTCATTTAAAAAACTACTATTTCTTAATGTGTATTTATTTATTGGTTTTAAAGAAAAAAAGGTCGTTAAAAACAAATAAAGTTTTTCCATATAAAAGTAAAACATAAGACATTAAATATGTTTAGTTTATAAACATCTAGAACCTTCATATAATCAAAAAAATATTTTGAATGTGAAAAGCGATCTGTATAATTAACTACGCGGATTGCATGTTTCTGACGGCGATAAAGATGTTGTAATTTACTTTTATCCGTAACTCCCCAAGCGATGATTGCATAATTTATATAATTATGTATAAATGAATAATAGAGTTGGATTAAGTTTTTTTTGCTTAAATAATTTCGGGCTTTGTATAAAATGCCAATATTTTTGGAAATTTTTGTGCTTATATGATCAATATGTTTTCTCCAAGTAATATTCTCATCAAGGTAAACACCTAAGAATTTTATAACAGTATCTCTTTTTATTATCGTTTCATCAATATAAATTTGAGACATATTACTTGGTAAAAAACGTTTTTTGCGCAGGAGTGAAAGATAATCCTTTTTTTTTGTTAATATTTAAAGTTAATTTATTAGCTTTGAACCAATTAGAAATGTGATTTAGTTCTTTGTTTGTAGTTGAAAAGAGTTCATGAATATCAGTATGGGATAAGAAAAGATTAGTATCATCAGCGAACATTATACTTTTCAATTTGGAAGCTTTGTTTTATATGACAATCATTTACATAGATTAAAAATAGTAGTGGTCCGAGAATAGAACCTTGTAGAACACCACAGGTTATGCTCAGGGGTCCACTTTGCTGACCATCATTACTATAAACAAGTTGTTTTTGATTTGTTAAATAGCTTTCAAACCATTTTAAGATTCTATTGTTCAAACCATAATGTTTAATTTTTTGGATTAAAATGTGATGATCAACCGTTTTAAAAGCTTTTGATAGGTTAATAAAAACACCTAGTGTATATTGGGATTTTTCAAAAAATCCAGAGATGTTATGTATAAATTGAATAATGGCATGTTGAGCTGAACTCCCTTTTCTGAAACCATACTGATTGTTATGAAGTAAATTGTTGTAATTAAAATAATTGTATACCCTATTGAAGATAATTCTTTCTAAAATTTTAGAAAATATAGAAAGAACAGAGATGGGACGATAATTACTGATATTGGAGCTGTCGCCTTCTTTATGGATAGGGGTAACCCTGGCAAGTTTTAAACGTTCAGGAAAAATACCTTGATGGATAGATGCTCTGAAAATTTTAAAAAGAATATTTTTTAATTGTTCGTAGCAATCTATAACAATATTTCCGTTTATTTCATCTGCACCGGGTGCTTTATTTTTTTTAAAAGATTTGAAAGCTTTTTCAGACTCATCATGATAGTTCGGCAGATAATTCTTCAGAGCAAATATTTTTATCAATAGGTATCAAAAAATCATAAAATGAGGTTTGGGTTTTTGGTATTTTACTTGACAGAGTTGATCCAATTTCAGTGAAATATTTATTGAATTTATGAGCTATTATTTGTGGTTCATACAAGCTATTGTTATCGACTTTAAGCATTTGTGGCAAAGAGTTTGAGCATGTTTTTTGTTTCCCAGTAATTACTTTCAATACTAGCCAAGTGCTTTTTGAGTCATTTTTAACTTTATTAATTAATTTTAAATAGTAAGTTTTTTTTTTTTTCGGATTTTTTCGAAAAGATATATATACAATAAATATATATATACAATCGTGCGGAACATTTACAAACAGTTATAAAGGGATGATGTGTAAAGACCTATTAATTTAGGATTACAAAAGGAAGAATATTGCAAATCATTATTTAGAACAAAAAATTTCAAATATGGAAAATTTTGAAAGCGTATGTTTTATTTGTCCTTAAACTGCTGCATTCTCATTAGGTGTTGCTAGCCTCGGTCTTATTTTTCTACTTTTAAAATCCTTCAGGAATCTTTTAGGAATCCTATAGAAATAGAAGAGAATAATTGAACTTTCAAAAAATTTTAATCACTCCACCCTACTCTACAGACTTCGAGTTATGATTTATAGCAAAATATCAAAAACTGTTTGCAAATGATGCGTACAAACTTAGGATTACGCATACATTAAACTGCTTTAAAGAGTATGAATTAAAAAAATAATTTTTAATACAAACCATATAAATTAAAATGATTCTCAATAAATTAAATTTAAATTTATGTTATTGTGCAGCCGTGGTGCAGTGATTATAGCGCTTGCTTTACAAGCTCTGGACATGTTTAGCGCCATGGGCAAGAAAGGAGGCGTGAACTTCCTGGTTAAATAATCTTCCGCGGTATGACAAGGCCGTATCTTCTTGGTATCTTCCGCGGTATGACAAGACCGTATCTTCTTGGTATCTTCTGCGGTATGACAAAACCGTATCTTCTTGGGGCACCTAAACAAAAATTTTAAAAAATCTAATAGTAGCGTAAGAAAGATAATAAATGAAAAATTAAAAAAAAGTGTTAAGAAATAGTTTGTCAAATACATAGTTGATAGCCGAATAAAATAACGTCTTAATTAGAACAGTTATTCTGGGTAACTTTGACTTGACGGATAATTTTTAATAAAACCTATAAGTGTTTATCAATTTTTTTCTTTGGTAATTTCTTTTCCTGTTGCTTCAAAAAACAAGAATGTGATAAATTACCTTTTTTTTTTTACAAATGTTTTACCATATTTAAATAAACTTTATTTGTAAAAATGTTTTTTTTTTTAAGTAAAATTCCAGTAACACAGTCAAAAATTCTATATTGAAAACACAGTTATAAGATAATGTATTTTCAATATAAAATAGTTTTGTATTATATTGTGATTATCAAGTAAGACTTTTTAGTATTTTATTGAATTATTTGTCAAACTTTACAATCAACTCAAAATAATATGAGTTTAAATGTTTTTTCAGACAAAATGGATATATATTTTATATTCCTTATATCTATAACCGAATTTAGGGTAACTTTGAATAATTGATTTTACCAAGATAATTCTAAAGTCGCGAACTGTCAAGAAATATTGTACTGAACATGTCTTACTTAAATACCTGTATTTAAGTAGGCAATGGTACTAAATCCAATTACCTAAATTCTACTCTTCAAGAGGCATTAGCAAAAATTAAATTAGAAAAATCATCGATTATTCACGATTCTAAGTAACTAAAACAACATTGCTCTCTAAATTAAAATATAAACACTGTAAACAGTTCGGCACCATATTGCCCTTATTATTGAGGAGGAATTTTGTTTTAAAAATCATTTAATTTATTTAAGTATTAAAGAAATACAAATTGGTGATAATAACTTAAAAAGTATTGTTAAAATCTATTTAGATAAAAAAATAATACAATAGTCTAAAGATAGGTTATCAGGTTAAAAATGGTGTTATCTTGACAGGCATTCGTTGTTGAAACAAAGTCTTCTCAGTAATTCAACTTGCGCATGATTGTCATATAAAATTATTTTGAAATTATTCAAAAACTAGAAAACAAAATAAATGGAGTAAAGCCAGATATCACGTACTCCGTGGATATTAAGGCGAGTTTCCACTCATCCGTTTTTCTACGGGAACGGGATAGGAAAGGAAAAAATAATTACGTGAGCATGCGTAATAAAAGATTTTATTTGTCCGAAAGAAAACTGCGCATGCTCACGTGATTATTTTTCCGTTCCCTTTCCCTTTCCCGTAAAAAAACGGATGAGTGGAAACTCGCCTTAATGTTAAACGTGGATATTTAACTCAATATTGGAGAATTGTTTAAGAAATATAATAATGTTTAACAAGATATTGGGGACAATTAGTAATTTTTTGAAGTTTTAAAATGACTAATTATCATGCAGCTCTTTCATTGGAACAAGTAAACAATTACAATAGGCGTGTTTTCGAAAATCACGGTTATGACGTCACAGCGGTTTCGCAGTCTTTTTTTGTCTTAGAGTGAGTTTCCACTCATCCGTTTTTTCACGGGAGCGGGAAAGGGACAGTAAAAATAATCACGTGGGCATGCGTAGTATAAATTTTAATATATTCGAAGGAAAACTACGCATGCTCATGTGATTATTTTTCCCGTTCCCGTGAAAAAACGGATGAGTGGAAACTCACCTTTAGAATAATAAAAAACCATTAGAAAAATAAAGTAATTTTTTCGAAACTTTTGTAAAGCTTTTTTTTTCAATATATGTAACCATATGAGAAAGCGTGACTAGTTACTTAAAAAGCTCGTTAAAGTGACTTTAACGAGCTTTTTAAGTGAAATCTTTCTGAACATGGTAACTATCATGAACATGCTAACTAACATGATTTTATAAAGAATTAATTTAAACTTATAAGTGAAATATAAAAGTAAAACATAGTGTTATTAGAAAGTTTAAGAAGGATTTGTCAAGCAATTGATTTCTGATTTAAATAAAACTAATTAAAGTAAAAAGATCTTTTTACTTTAATTAGGGAAATTATGAAAATAAATTATCTATAAAAAGTAAAACACTGTAAACCCAAAATTTTTTAATTAAACATTCTAAAAACTAATCAACTTAATCGGAATGACAGGAGAACTGGTACAGCAGCAGTAAAGCTGAAGTCTTTAAGACAAGCTATGAACTTCAACTTATGTAATGTTGAACTTATCTATGAACTTGAATGAACCAAAAGATTCTTTACATCAGCATGTTGAAAAAGTTTTGCTTGAAAGTAGTTTACATATTAAATCATTTAATATTTTCGAAAACTACTTCCGATAAATAAGGTAAAGGTCGAAAAATGACACGAGCTATTTTTAACTATTTTTTAGTATGTTCAATTGCTTTAAGCGGGAGTTTTTTTTATTTGACAATAAAACAATAATGTGCATTAACTGAAAGTTGCAAATCTCTATGAATCTTTTTTACACATATTTCATTACGTGCCATAATTAAGAGTGCCATAATTAAGAGTGAGTAATGAATTTTTAAAACGGCTGTTTGTGCAAAAAAATTTTCCCGCATATTTTCATTTATAACGGAACGTAAATATTTTAATTTTTATTATTTTAAAATGGGTAGTTTTACATAAAAATGGGTAGTTTTAAATAAAAGTTTTACATAAGAAATCGGTAGTTTTTCATAAAAGCCATATATTTAGATGAACTTATGTCAATAAAAAGTTTATAAAAAAACATGGTTTAAAATGTTGTAACTTATTTTGGTTTAAATAGACAGTTTAAATAAAATTCATATATTTTTGTTTTTAAGTTTAAAAACAAAAATATATTTTTCAAATAAGATCGCTACTAGTTAACTTTAGATTTATATGTATATATATATATATATATATATATATATATATATATATATATATATATATATATATATATATATATATATATATATATATATATATATATATATATATATATATATATATATATATATATATATATTAGCTAACCCAAGGAGGTTTAATAAACCTCCTTATTAAACCTCCTTGAGCTAACCAGACCCGTAAAAATTTGAGATCGCCTGTTACACTATGTTAAACTAACTTTTACGGTATACTTTGCCGTATACTCGGTATGCTAAAAGTTGGTATACAATTTAGTGTACCTATTTACTTTTTTTTGTGAATTTTTTTGGACTGACTTGATAATTTAATAATATAAATAAGTTATTATTATATTATCTTAATGAGTTAAATTACTATATCATATTTATTGTATGACTTATTATTATTAAAGTATTTTTATTTTTAGTTGGTTTTTTTAATGTAGCAAGAAAAAAATCCATTATCAAGTGGGAGCTGGTTTTTATTAAAGGCTTCAACCTTTTTATTTATCTAGTGAAAACATATAACTATTGGTCATTGGTATAATAAAACGCACAAACAAAACGTTAAATAAAATATACATATTTGTTTAAAAACAAACAAATCTAATGCCTCTACAATTGCACCTTCTAAAGTAGGTGTACTGGGTTATTAAAATTATTCTTTATTAGGTTTTAGGACATAATTTCTTTTCAGATCATCCGCAGCTTATTAGGACTAATTACTTAAGCACATTAATAACATAAGTATTTCTATCATGACAGTTTCTCCCGGTGTTTTGTGATGTTTTTGTGATTTTTTTCAAAAGTTCTCTACTTTTCTATTGTTATGAAAAACACATTTTCTATTGTTATGAAAAACACATTTTCTATTGTTATGAAAAACACATACTGAAACTTTTTAGTCCCTGTGTAATAAGTTTTAAAGTATATAATTAATTATGAAAAAAGAAATTGTTTTCTACTATGATATTATTTGTCCGTATGCATACCTTGCCTCCAAGTTAATTGAAAATGTTGCGAAAAGAACTAATGCAACTTTAGTATGGAAACCTGCTTTACTTGGAGCTATCTACAAACATACAAAACCTGATAACATTGACATACCTGAAAATAAATTGATCAAAACATATTCAAGCCAAAAATTAAAAGTAATGAGAAGAGATTTGGCTATGCAATTTTCTCGTCACAGTGTTCCAATAAGTACAAATCAAGTACCAGATGTTAAAACATTAAATGCATTGCGGTTGATTGCTTTCACACCTGATGAGTCTATGGATCTGAGATCAAGACTTTCACATAATTTATTTGATGCAATTTGGCAGCATAAAAAAAGATGTAAGTGATTTGAATATCTTACAAAATATTGCTGATTCATTTAATCTTCTAATCAAAGTTACTGACTTTGATGATAAAACCCATCCTGCTCGACAGAAATTATTAGATAACACAGAGGAAGCCATAAGTCGCGGTGTTTTTGGTGTACCAAGTATGTGGGTCAACAACCGACTATTTTTTGGAGGTGATAGGCTTTTTCTTGTTGAAAGAGAGTTTGGTTTGAAATCTGAACCTCATAGAGTTTTATACAAACCAGTTTGTGATGTTACGAAAAAAGCCAAAATTACATTTTATCTTGATTTTGGAAGTCCTTGGACATTCCTTGGTTTCAAACAGTTGAATTCACTCATATCATCTGTTGCTCCTGTTCAAGTAGATATTGAGTATGTACCAGTGCTTATTGGTGTTATCTTTAACAGCATCAGAACACCTATGCTTCCCATGCTAGTATCAGAGAGTAAAAGAAATTACTTTCCAAAAGATTTTAATGATTGGTTAAACTATCATGAAATCAAAGGTTTCCGATTTTTATCTCATTTTCCGTTGAAAACATTAACTGCATGTAGATTAGCTATTGCACACAACAAACCTGATTTAATCAATTCCATTTTTGATGCTGTTTGGTTAAATGATAAGGACATTAGTAATGATGAGGTACTTCGCGAGATTTTGTCATCAAATGGGTTTAATTCTGATCAATTAATGAGAGAAACAAATACTGAAGAAGTCAAGTTGCAACTTAAAAAAAATACACAGAGGTAAAAAAGTTCGAAGGTTAATGTTTAAAGATATTAAACTATACATTATCATTATTTTTATCATCATCATCATCATCATCATCATCATCATCATCATCATCATCATCATCATCATCATCATCGTCATTGTCATCATCATTGTCATTGTCATCATCAGCATCATCATCATCATTATCATCATCAGCAGCATCATCATCAGCAGCAGCATCATGATTATCATCATCATCATCATTATCATCATCATCATCATCATCATTATCATCATCATCATTGTCATCGTCATCATTATTGTCATTGTCATCATCAGCAGAAGCATCATGATCATCATGATCATCATCATCATCATCATCATCATCATCATCATCATTGTAATTGTCATCATCAGCATCATCATCATCATTATCATCATCAGCAGCATCATCATCAGCAGCATCATCATGATTATCATTATCATCATCAGCATTATTATTGTTTTGATATTTCTAGGTTTTTAGTTTAACAAATTTTTTTTAACGTTAAAATTTTAGTAAAAAAGATAAACTAAGACAATGCTAGAAGAATAAAATGTTTTTTTTTATTTAAAAAGAATACTTTGAGAAAGAAACAAAAATTCAAAAGAATGTTTTTTTAGTAGAATAATTTATGCTAAAGAATAAAAAAATTTAATTTTTAGCATTTTTTTAGTTTAAAATTTTTACTAGAATTAATAATTCTAGTGAAAATGTTAAATAGAAAAAGTTTTGCAAATTAATTAGTGTTAATGTAACTGTTCAGTTGATGTAATAATAGTTCTATGAATCTTTGCATGAAAGTGCATTTGCCTTAAGAGGTTAACATATTTTCTGAACCGCAGACCATCAACCTGTGAACTCCCTAGCTGTGTAACAATTTATTATACATAGGCTTTGTCTTTTAACTCTTTTCTACATTGTCTTTTCTACATTGTCAGTTTCCAAAAATAATGCTGTTAAAGAAACTATTACAACGTATTGTTACTGTTAATGAAACTAATGCAACATTTTGACTCTTATTTTGCTTTTAAAATGTATTAGGCAAAAAGTAGTTGAGGTTAAATTTATTGGCTAATTAATCAACTATTGGCTAATTAATCAACTAATGGTTCAACCCATTAACTAGCCGATGGTTACTGATGGCATAGGCTACAAGGCCAAATCAATGTTGATATATAATTTTACCTTATACATATTTTACATCTCTATATTACCAGTTTATGTATAAATTAAACCCTATTATTAGCCACAATTATACCTTTGCCATCGGTACATAACTAATTTTATTTAATTAATTATAACTTTTATAACTTACATAATTTTGTTTACACAACATTATCATAGGCGTCATTGTTTTAGCATCCTTGTTTCATTTTCAAGAATTTAATATTGTTTTTGGAAAAAAAATTACAAGACTCAGAAGTGTCAGGTCAGGAGTATGGTCTTCATGATCACCCTGCTACTGGTAACATGTAACCCAGTGCAACCTGTTCCATGTTCTGCTGCCTTGCAGGATTTGCTATCTAAGCAAAGGCTGGAAGGAGTGTTCTTTATTTCATCAGTACTATCTTATATCAGTCATGCCTATAGTAATTTTTTTTTTTTTTTCCATATAGTTGGAGGTGCCTTAGTTACTGTATTAGCTCACCTGTAATCTACGTTATATGTATGTTTGTGTTCTGTCTGAACCTCTGGCGCGGTGTTCGCTCACCCGTAAGTTACTTTATGTTTTTTATGTATGTTTGTGTTCTGTCTGAACCTCTGGCGCGGTGTTGACTCACCCGTAAGTTGATTTATGTTTGTTTGTGTTCTGTTTATACTCTAATGCAGCGCGAGCTCAGTAACTAACTACTTACTCCAACTACAAAACCTACACTCACCTTAGACTCCTGTATTTTGTTAGATGCAGTGTTTTTCCTAATGCACTTCCAAAATGCCATGCCTGGTTTTCTCAAAGTACTGTTGTGGGAAGTAACTCTTTTTAACTACTCCAGGTCAGGTCAGGATAATCGAGATCAATCTTGCTACTGGTATCACGTAACCCAGTACCACCTGCCACAAGCCCTGCTGCCTTGCAGAGTGTGCTCTTCTTATGCAAAGGCTAGGAGAAATAAACTCCGACTAAAAATTCCCCTGCCTTGGGGCTCTTGGTTGAGTAAAGGCTAGAGATGGTGTCTCGATAAAAACACTCATCTTGGGCAGATGTTAACTGCATCCAGCTAAGCATCCCCTGCTTTGGGGCTCTTGGTTGAGTAAAGGCTAGAGATGGTGACAGAAAAATTCTGCTAACCAGCCTCGAACCCCTTCTTCATCTATTAGGCTGGCGTAGATGTAACCTGTGTTACATTGTTTCCTGCCTAGGATGATGAATGCTGGATCTCCTTGACTCTACTCATAGAATTTTGCTTATGCCTCCTTGATAATGGCTATGCAACTCTTCCTGTTATCTCAATATGAGGGTACAGTTCTAAAACTCAGTTTAATGGTTCTGAGGCCGGCTGGTAGTAAGGTTTCCCGAACTCTGTGGTAGCTCTCAGAGAGGCTGATTCCATCAACAGCTGCAAAATATCAGAGTATTAACAGTGCCATGTTGCGCATGGATGGTGTCCCTGTTAATGCTTTTGGTGTGCATTGTCAAGGCCACATAAGGAGCCCTATGTCACGGCTTGGGTTAATTAACAGGACTGAGACAACTGCATAGCTCATTGATTAGGAGGCTGTGCTCTATCTATGAATGAGTCAAGTTCTTATTAAACCCAAATCATGACCAAAGTAACCAAAAATTTAAAACCTAAAAAACCATCCCCACCACCTAAATATTTTAATATATCCTTTACAAATATTCGCAGTCTACGAAGCAACTTTCCATCAGTTGAGTCTTACCTCCTGCAAAATTCACTAGACTTGCTTGCACTCAGTGAAACAAATTTAAGTTCTGCAATTCCTTCTTCAGATGTCAGTGTTGATGGATACTATCCTTTGATTCGTAAAGACTCCAATAATCACATGCTAGGTTTAGGGGTATACATACGCATTAATTCCCCTATTTGTCGTGAAATCAGGTTCGAATCCTTTGACCATTCTTTTATGTGCTTTCGCCTAGCACCTCTTCACTCTATCACCTTTCTCTTTGTTCTTTATCGTTCTCCTTCTTCCCATGATTGCACTCTTTTAGATGTTATCTCTGATCAAATTGACCATGCCCTCTCTCTTTACCCCTCTGCCAATATTGTTGTTGTTGGTGATTTTAATGCCCATCATACTGAATGGCTTGGCTCTAACACCACTGATCCTGCTGGCACTAAAGTCTTTAACTTCTGCATTTCTCAATCTCTTACTCAGATAGTTAACTTTGTGACTCGTTTTCCTGACAACCCTAATCATTTACCTTCACTCTTTGACTTATGTCTTGTCTCTGACCCTAGCTTATGTTCAGTTTCTCCCTTTTCTCCCTTAGGTGGTTCTGACCATGCAATGATCTCTATAAATCTTTCTTCTTGTACTTCTTTTTTGGGCTCACCTTATCATCGCACCACCTACTACTACCCTAAAGCTGACTGGGATTGCTTTCGTGATTTTCTTCGTGATGGTCCTTGGGCTGATGTTTTTTCTCTCTCAGTTTTTTCTCAAATGCGCCTCCTACGTAACCTCCTGGATTCAGGCTGGAATGGAAGCTTTTATTCCTTCTCATTGGTTTCAAGTCAAGCCTCATTCTACTCCATGGTTTTCTCCTTCTTGTGCGGCTGCTATATCCAATCGTAATCATTTTTTTAATATTTTTCAAAAGAACAACTCTCTTGAGAACAAACGGCTATTTATTATTGCAAGAAATCAATGTAAAAAGGTGCTTTCTGATGCTAAACTCCATTATTCTCAGTTCACTAAATCTCGCATCTTATCGCAGAAGTTAGGCTCTAAAAACTTTAGGAAAATCTTCAACAGCATTGTTAACAAGGGTAGATTTAACATTCCATCTCTCATTCATGGGACTGATCTTATTACCTCTCCCAAGGATAAGGCAGAACTATTTGCAAAGAACTTTTCTTCTAATTCCACTCTTGAATCTTATGGACATTCTCTTCCTTCCATTCCAGTCAAACAGGTTGACCCATTGTTAGACATTCAAATCACTCCGGCTTCTGTTGCTAAAGTCATATCTCAATTAAACTCGTCTACAGCTTGTGGTCCAGACAGCATTCCTGTCACAGTCTTGCAGAATTGTTCTCTAGAACTTTCTTCAATTCTCTCTAAACTATTTAACAAGTGTTTGACTGAGTCTTGTTTTCCTGCTTGTTGGAAAATGGCATCTGTGGTTCCAATGTTCAAAAACTCTGGAGAAAATTCTGACCCCTCCAATTATCATCCGATCAGTCTTCTTTCTGTTATTAGCAAGGTCTTTGAGTCTTTGATCAACAAATTCCTCACATCTCATCTTGAGTCAAATAAACTGCTGTCAGACAATCAATACGGTTTTCCATCCTCTTGCTCTACGGCTGACTTGCTAACTGCTGTAACTGAAAGATTTTATCGTGCATTAGATGGAGGCGGTGAGGCTAGGGCGGTTGCTCTCGACATATCTAAAGCTTTCAACAAAGTTTGGCATGCTGGTCTTCTCCATAAGCTTGCTTCATATGGTGTTTCTGGGAAAGTTTTTGAGATCAAATCATTTCTTTCTAACTGGTTTAATAAAGTCATCCTTGAAGGCCAACACTCTTCTTTATTTCCAGTAACCTCTGGGGTTCCCCAAGGTTCCATCCTGGGCCCTGTTTTGTTTCTTATCTACATAAACGATATTCCTGACAACCTTTTATCTAAAGTAGCTCTTTTTGCTGATGACTCAACTTTATACTCCTGTCTTGACAAAAAGTCTTCTCTTTTCGATCGCCTAGAACAAGCAGCTGATCTTGAATCTGATCTCACTTCAGTAATAGATTGGGGTTCACAGTGGCTTGTGAATTTCAACTCTAAAAAAACCCAATTGCTTACTGCAAACAACTACCGTAATATGGTCAACATTCCTATATTAATGAATGGCAATCCTCTTACTAAGTCCTCCTCTTTACGTCTTCTTGGATTATCACTTACTACTGACCTTTCACGGAAACCATATATACAACCGATTGCTAAATTAGCTTCTGCTTAGGTTGCTTCTTTTTATCGTGCTCGCCATTTCCTTACTGCTGATTCCATTCTCTACCTCTACAAATCTCTTATTCGCCCCTGTATGGAATACTGTTGTCATATTTGGGCTGGTTCTTCTGACGATTCACTTTCTCTTCTTGACAAGGTCCAAAAACGCATTGTAAATGTTGTTGGACCTGGACTATCTGCTAAACTTGAACCTCTTTCCCATCATCGTAAAGTTGCATCTCTTTCTCTTTTCTACAGATACTATCATGGTCACTGCTCAAAGGAGTTATCATCTCTAGTTCCATCAACTAAAATTCATTCTTGTTTTACTCGCCATTCAGCTAAGTCTCATTCGTTTACTGTATCTGTCCCTGCATGCTCTAAAAACTTTTATTCATCTAGTTTTTTTCCCCGCACTTCAATCCTTTGGAACTCTCTCCCATCTTCATGTTTTCCTGACTCATACAACCTTCAACTTTTCAAGTCTTCTGTCAACCATTTCCTTGCTCTATAACTCTGTTTTTTTTTTTTCCTAGTAGCTCCCAACTTAATAGTGGTTGCTTGCAGCCTTGTTGGGAGTGAATGCAAATAAAAAAAAAAAAAAAAAAATTTTTTTGCATATCTTAGGTATATAATATCTTTAAAACTTCAAAAGTGTTTTATTTTGTATTTTAAAAAATTGAATTTTTAAAATACTTATCCAAACTTCCTAAAAAAATTATTTTATCAACTTGTTGTTCTCACGTTTTGGGTGGGGAGAGGGATGAAATTTTAGGTCTTTTTTGTTCTCAGCCTCAAATCATCCCAACCATCTAGCAAAATCCTGGATTCCATTTTCATGTTTTCTCAGTGCACGAGAAAAGAAAAATCAAGACAAAAAAGAACATTGACTTCTCCAACTAAATAGCATGATTTTATTGGTAATGCTCAGAATTCTCCACCAAATTTTTTTTTTCAACTGTTACTTGAAACAGTATCCCATAATTAACCGTTTATTGCATTTTAAAGCGCGCGCAAAAGAAGTTTTATTTCAACGCTAGTTTATACTCTCAATGAAGATGAACCTGATCAAAGGATTAAATTCTTTGAGTGGTATGTCAATGACATGTTTTCACTGAAAATGGATAATTTTCATTAAAAGCATTGAAAATTAACCTACATTTAAATTAATTGGTTCGATTAATACCATAAAATTGTCATAAATGCAGCTATTGGGCACAAAAAATTTCTCATCTTACCGTGAAACTTCACTTGAAATTGTCTGGAGCCACAGGATGATATTATCTCGACACGTTGTTAGAATTTGCTGGTCATAATGTTTTCGAGAGTTTTTATAAACTGGAATCACATTTTCCAGCAGACAGGAAAACATGATTCAGCCAAACGTTAATTAAAAAATTAGTTTAGAGATAATTGAAGAGTGCTCTGGAAAACACTTTTGTAAGGCTACGATAGGAATGTTGTCTTGACTACAAGCCGTAAAAGAGTTTAATTGAAATATGACTCTGGCAATGGAAGCTGAAACAATTTGAATGACTAACAATATTTTATCCTGTTCAATTAGAATGGAAGGAAGAGTATAGGCATAAGATTCAAGACTCGAACTAGAAGAAAAGTTTTTTTGCAAATAATTCAGCCTTATTCTTGGGAGAGGTAATAAGATCAGTCCCAAGAATAAAAGATTTTTTTTTTCTTCTCCAGGTATGCCATATAAAATATACATTTATTATCGTGATAAAAAGAAAATATATATACAAAATTATTACGTATCAGATTGATAAAAATACGTTAATATAACATTTATACATTAATATAGTATTGATGCAAACTTTAATATAAATTCTGGTATAATAACTATTGTTTGGGGTGGATCCAGGAAAAATATTGACTGTAGCAAAAGTAAAACCAGAGGACCACAGCAACAGTGGCATTGCTAGGTGACAGAGGACCTTTTTTTTATTAGATTATTCTGTTAGTCTAGAGGGGTGATAAAAATGTTTACCGTTTACCAAATGTTTACCAACACAATTGCTTAGCAAGTTAAATGAAATATTTAAAGTTTAAAAAAATACTAGAAATGATGGTCATTTATCTTATCCAAAACCTACACATTTTCTTTTTTTTACAACAAAAAATTATTACAAATTTTTAATTTAAAATCTTTTCAATTTTTAAACCTTCAAAAATGTTTCAACTAATATTTTAACGTATTATCGATTTTACTTAAATCGTTAAAATAGCGATAGTGTAAAAATGTAACTGGTAGAGATACAGGTAGACAAGGCCTCCTTGTGTATAGTTCTTACCTGCAGATCTAGAAACTAATTAACATAAGTAGATTTGTAATTTTTTCATTTAATGAATATTTTTTGGGTAGTCTTATTAGACCCACAGGCAATTCTGGAATGCCTACCTGTAGATAAATTTTTAATTACTGGGCTGTAGTAACAGCGTAAAAAAAAAAAAATCAGTTCAAAAATTTTAGAGGCACCAAAAACCTAACTTATAATTCTGTACCTCAGAAGTCAAAGGTCGGTTGTCACGTTTTAGAAAATTGTTCAGGAGAGAGGAAATTGTAAAATAATTAGTCCATATATCAAATAAATGAAATCGTTAAAAGAATATTTAAAACCAAGGACGTGAAATAAACTTTAGTTTAGCGTAAATAAAAGAAATCATTAAAATATATATTTAAAAAAATATTTTATTAGGCAACATTTTTGAAATGGACTTGAAAGTAAAAAATAAATATATAAAAAAAACTGTTTCATTTTGTCGTAGGACAACAATCTTTTTACCTCTGTGTAGATACTGAAAAAACTAAAAAGGTCTCATACATAACTTATTTTCATAAAAAACTGGACAACCGACCAGTCTACTGATGAATTACATTAAAAAGAATAAACAATGAAATTTTTTTTTTGATACCTTTCGATATTAATCTAGTGGGAATTGTAGTCAAAGTTTAATAGTATGGAAAATAACATTAGAGCAGTTGTAAAAAAGAAGAACTGATGAAAAGTAGCTCCTGTGATTTAATACACGTTTATTACAAGGTCATTGTTATTATTAATGATAAAAACAATATAGCACTGCTTTTTTTCTAAAAAAAAAGGTATTGGAACTCATCTGGAACTCATCATTAGCATATCACAAAAAATGACGACAAAGGTAGCACTTAAAAGTTTTTTTTAAAAAGGTAAACGACGTTCCGGTGCGTTTGAGGAGAAAACGCACTGCAATATTTTAACCGCAAAAACCAGTTTTTAAGGTTAAAAACTGGTTTATATATATTTATATATATATATATATTTATATATATATATATATATATATAAATATATATATATATATATATATATATATATATATATATATATATATATATATATATATATGTATATATATATATATATATATATATATATATATATATATATATATATATATATATATATATATATATATATATGTAATCAGTATTACTTTAAAGGAATAAATGTATCTATTCATCAGAGTTCAATATATTTTAAATTCCATTTTTTGTGGAAATGCCGTATCTACAACAATATTCAAGTCTATTTCAATATCTCGATGAATGTGCAAAATGGCAACACCATTTAAACGACCATCTCCCATAGTATTTCGAAAGGAAGTTTTAATTCTTTTTAGAGCTGATAATGATCTTTCGCATGTACATGTTGTGACTGGTAATGTGCAAAGGATTCGAAGTATAGTGGAAATATTGAGAAATGTATGGTCATCACATTTTTGTAGTGAATCTGAAATGGTTTTAGGAGCACTATCAGAGTGATTTTTCCAATATATTTCCCACATATCTAACTCAGCATAAAGATAGTTTGGTTCCGGTAAATCGTTTTGGTATGTATGAACAAACTCTTTTACTTTTTTTCTCCACTCCTTGTCAGAAATTAAATTTGATGGTATAATGGAGAAACTATCTAGCAATACTAAATTGTTTAAAGAAAATAAAGAATCTAGCTGTATCAGAATGTGATCAAGAAATGGAATTGAACAAGTTACTCGATAATATTTACTTATATCATCTACTTCATGGTTATCACGTTGTATTTGTTGATCGCATGTTCTTGGTTTGGATGGCATTGTACTAGTAGTTGCAGCTATGCTAACAGCTTCTTTGTACCATTCTGTGTGTGAAATATCCATAGAGCTCCGAAGAGATATAAGAGTATTCTTTAAATTTTCCACATCTTTACAAGCTTTTGAGAAGTCTTGATCAACTTTTTGCAAAGTTTTAGTCAGTGGTCTTATATAGCCTAATAACTTCCTAACTATGATTAAGGTGATAATAAACTTAAAAGAACAACATATTGCCACATATGCAGAAGCATCACCTCTAGATTTGTAGTTCCATATCACATCTTCTTTGATACAAATAAGAGATGCAACTATAGCTGGATATAATTCAATAAAAGCTTCAAGGCCATCAATTTTTTCAATCCACTTGGTTATACAAACATTGATTGTCTTTTGAAAAGATGATGTCGGACATAGCTCACTAATTTTTGTAGATAGATCTTCTAACCTTTTTGGAGAATTATAAAAAAAATCAGAGACAATTCGAACATGATCTATCATATCTCGAATCGAAGGAATTGCACATGCTTTGGCAACACATAAACTAAGTTGATGAGAAAAACAGTGGATTATGGAGCTTTAGGAAAATCTTTTAAAATTAATGCTGCTACAACACAAAGATGCCCTGTTACCAGCCCCATCATAACCTTGCCCACGACAATAAGACATTTCCAGACCAAGTTTATGCATATTTTCTTGATCTTGGTTTATAAAGAAACTCCACTCAAACCAGAATTGCAAGAAACAAATTTTAGAAAATCTTCCTTTACTTTACAGCATTCATCCACATATTGAACAATTACAGCCATTTGTTCTGTTTGACTAACATCTGAAGCTTCATCAGCTAAAATGGAAAAAAATTTTGCTTTTTAAAAAAGAAAAAGATGTTGTTCGGTCCCTATTGACAGACAGAATAAATTCTTTATTCTGTCTGTCAATAGGGACCGAACAACATCTGCACAAATATCAATCAACTCATTCTGCACTCTCTTTGATCGATAAGTAGCATTTTTAGGACCATTTTTAAAATGGTCACTCAAGATATTGTCACCGCATGATGCCATCAGATCTAATAAGCATTGGAAATTACCAGCATTATTACATTGCTCAACTAGATGTTTGGCGTCATCTCTGTGTCCTCTAAGCGGTATATTCTGCCTACAACAAAAAAAAATTGCACATGATATTCAAAACAAAATTTTTGTCGATTTCTAGAAATATTATCAGATAGAAACTTATTGAGTTGCAAATTAATTTGAACGACTTTATTACTCATTACTGCTTGAAAATCAAGCATTATCTGTATTGAGGTTTTATGCATTGGAGAAGTGTTATTATGTGATAATATTCTTACATTTCCAATTGACCAAAGCCGATATGGAAATTTATGTAATAATTGATTAGGTAAAGAGGCTTTTCCAAAAAGAACATAAGAGATACAGAACACAACCACGAAAATTTTTTGAACCAAACAGGGTTACATTTACGACTATTAGTTTTAGGAAATATATAGTCAGAAGGTGGCACCCATACATTCAATAGAAGATTATACTTCTCATGCTTTGATAATTTTTCCACTTTGTCTACAAACAACCCAATATCAAATTTGTTACATTCATCTTCTGTTGTTGTCTTTTCATAATTTACATGCAGTTTCGGAATTATGACACCTGATATCGATTTTTTTAATTTATTATTTAATTCCAAAGATGAATCAGACACAGACAATGATTTATTGTTCACAGAAAAAAAATTCTTAAAAATAATAAGAAACTTTAGACTTCTTAGCCTCATACGCAGTATATGCAACATTGGAGATACCTAACAAAAAAGCAGATCGTTATGATCGAAAAATACCATTTGAATGCCCAAGACAAAAAAACAGAATGCACAGCAAAAAAATTTGCGTTCTTGTATAATTCAATTGCACAAAGTTTCCTAAGAGTTAGTGCTAGTGTACTTTTTCCATGTATATATATATATATATATATATACATATATATATATATTATATATATATATATATATATATATATATATATATATATATATATATATATATATATATATATATATATATATATATATATATATATATATATATATATATATATATATTACCATATATATAGCATTGCAGTGGCTAAATATAGGGTATTCAGGTTGTGGTGCATTGACTATAAAACAAGAGGTTTTACGAAGTTTAGGAATTGTTTTGATTATAAATCAAGAACTTTTTGATTTGCTTCATTAAAACTTCTTGAAGAAGTTCTTTTAATAAAGCAAATCTAACTCAAAAATATCCACTCATCCACTGCACTGCTCAGCTAGAAACCAACAAAAACTATAAAAAAGATATTACCTGACAGGGACCATGGAATACGTTTTTTCGTCTATAAGTTTATCAGCATACAACCTTGCCAAACTATTACTTGCTGCAGCATCTATAAAACCATCGGCTGCACCCACTGATCTCAAAATAATAACTGGATAGCGCATTCGGGAAAATTTTTGAAGCCAGTTTTGGCCTACCAAGATGGCGGCGTAGTTTGCCAAGGGTTATAGAAGTACCGTTTAAAAAATCAAAAAACCTTAATCGTAATCGATAAAGATATAATTTTAAACACAAATAAGTTTTTTTTTTTAAAATAAACAATTTTTAAAAATAAAAGTAGGTATATATATATATATATATATATATATATATATATATATATATATATATATATATATATATATATATATATATAATATATTTATACATATTCATAAAAAATATATATACATTGCTTAATATAAATATTATTTATCCTTATATATATATAATATATATATTAGGAAAAATAATATTTATATTATGTAATATATATATATTTTATAAATATGTATAAATTTATTTTATTATAAGATAAATAAAATCCTTCAAAAAAATTTAATAACCAATTTATGTACCTTTTAGTTCTTAATTATCTTGTGCTGTGTGCTAGAAGGTTAATAACACAACTGCATGATAGGCAGCTTAGTATCTGTTTAATATGAATCAGTCTTAAAAAAATTTGTTTTTAACAGATACTAGTATTGTACATATGCTGCATGAACTATTAGCTGAGCTCTGTGAGTATACACAACTCAGAGGTTCCTTCTAGAGTTTGTAATCATCAATTATTTAAGTTTAATTTTAATAGATTTTTCTTTCAATACAAATAAATATACTAACTATATACACACACATAAATATAATCACCTAGTACATTTAAGTAAATGTATATATATATATATATATATATATATATATATATATATATATATATATATATATATATATATATATATATATATATATATATATATATATATATATATCTGTGTGTGTGTGTGTGTTTTGTGCATATACTATCAAGATGTTTAATGAACAGAGCTATAATATAGAAGAAAATAAAACTATGTGTTGCAATCATCAGGTGAAATACTTTTCATTTTTATTTTGCCTGATGATTGCATCAGCATGAAACTTAATGTTGTGAAATTTGCATGAAATTCGTTTTATTTTCTACTATATATATATATATATATATATATATATATATATATATATATATATATATATATATATATATTATATATATATATATATATATATATATATATATATATATATATATATATATATATATGTATATGTATATGTATATATATATATATATATATATATATATATATATATATATATATATATATATATATTATATATATATATATAAAATGTTTGTATGTATATTATATACATTTAAGTGTCCAAGCAAATAATGGAAGTTCAATTTTTTTAAGGTTTGAGTTATCAGGAGTTAACTGTGTATATCAATGGCATAGTGCACAGATGTGGTAAGAGCAAGATTAAAAACTGTAGAAACTGTCATTTTTGCGCGTAATTATAATAAGAAGAGTTTTTGTATTTACCACATATTGTCAGTTATTAGACTCTTTATCGCTTATCATACACACACCATATTTATGCACGATAAACTATAAAAAAAAACAGGTTTTTCTGCGTACTTATTTCAATTTGACCAAAATTTGTACTTACCATATCTGTGCACTAAAATGGTATACTAAAAACAAATGTTTTCATTGGTTTTTGAAGAAGACAAATTTAATAAACTGCTTCCTAAACTTTTTTCCAGTCAATTTGTTAGTTACTTCTTTGCGTAGGTGATGAAAGTGTATTTTTGAGTAATTTTTTGAAATAACTTTAATAAGTGAAAATAAATGCTTATCAGTTAAAGACGAATCAAGCATATGATGAGTTAGTTCTGTGAATACTTTTGATAAATCAACTGATCTCAAAATAACACTTGCATTTGCATTTTTAATTCCTATATCATTAGGCAGGATAATATTTGTTGATGTAAGAAACCTTTGGAAACATCTTTCTGTTCCTTCGCATACCAAAACAACACTTTTGCTTGGTTTAACCAAACCTCCTCTAGAGAATATATTCTTAATAAAATGTAACATACATATGTTACATCTTTACATATTATGTATGTGTTAAACTGTCAATAATTATCCTTTAAACTTTGAGGAATAATTATTCACAGTTGAGTTTGACAATGACTTTAAATCTAAGTTATTGAGAGATTGTTTTTTACTTTGGAATATGAAAATTGTTTTATATTTTCACTGATTATTGAGTCCAGAAAGTTAATGCATTAAATAATAAAATGACTTTTATAATCCTAGAAGGAACCTCTGAGTTGTGTGTACTCACAGTTCTCAGCTAATAGTTCATACAGCATTTGTACAATAATGTTTTTACCTACAAAACTCATGATTGTAAAATTTTATAAAGATTGTAGGTAGACAACGTTGCTGCTTACCATACAGTTGTGTTATTAACCTTCTAGCACACAGCATTGGGTAATTAAGAACTAAAAGGTACATAAATTATAAACCTAATTTAAAAAGTTTATACTAGCTAAATATTTTAATAATTAGGAATCAAATAAATTTATTTCGCTATCTTATTATCCTTAAAAATAAGATAGCGAAAGCTTACCCTCGTGTATTTAAAATATTGAATACCTATTTAGTATTAGGGATCGTGCATAAATTACGTTACGCATTTTTTGACAGATTTTGACCTCCCCCCCCCCCCTCCCCCTCGTCACAAAATCGTAACATTTAAGAAGCAAGTTTTGTATGAGTCGTCACAAAATTACTAACCCCCCCTCCCCTTATAGCGTGACGTAATTTATGGACGACCCCTTATCTTTTTATTAACAAGGAGGTCTTATATAAGAATTAAAAGTCATCAACCGAGAACCTGTTGCAAGTGTAGCAAAAAACCAAAATTATACCTGGTTGATTTAATATTACTATATATACGGTTAAAAAAATTTTTAATGAAAGTAATGGAGCTGTATCAAGTTTTAAAAGTAAACAATCATTCTTTAATAGATCAGATTAAATTATGTAACACCGTCGAGTTAAACAATTTCTGC